TTCAAGTTTCAATCAACAACATCACCAATTATAAAAAATAAATTCACAATGTCATTACTATTCACCATCTTCAACCTTAACCATTAACAATTAATTTCGTTATCATTTTCAATCAAAAATTTGATCAAAACAAAGTAATTATCACTATTCATCATCACTAACATTCAATATTAACTTATAAAATTAACACCAAAACTCAAAAGAAATTCACCACAAATATCACTATTCATCATCTTGAACCTTACTACAATAATGTCATTCAAACTTCCATTGAAGTCAACAACATCACAATGTATTTCATGGTTTAGAAATTCAAAAAACAAATAAAGAAATACCATGCAAATAACCTTGAAAATGAAGAAAATGAAGAAGTACCTTCAAAAATGGTGGAGCGCGGCCGCCAAAGTCGAACAGAAGGAGAAGGAGATACTTGTAGATAGAGGGTGCTACGGCGGAGAGAGTGGCGCGATTGAAGCACGACTGGTCGGAGGAAGATACGACGGTTGGATGTCTGGTAGGGTTTAGAAAAGGTGCGTCTGAGAGTGAGAGAAACAAAATGCTCACAAAGGGTAAGAAGTGCAATAAGAATTATGTTTTAATTTTAGAAATTAATGACCTATAGCAGCGCTTTTGAAAAGCGTTTTCTTTCCTTATACCTATAGCAGCGCTTTTTCTTAAAAAGCGCTTTCGTATGCTAGACCTTTAGCAGCGCTTTTGAAAAGCGTTGTCTAAGGTGTGACCTAGACACCCTCTATAGCAGCGCTTTTGTATAGCGCTTTTTATTGTGTGACCTAGACACCCCCTATAGCAGCGCTTTTTTAAAGCGCTTTCTAATGTAGGCCTTTAGCAGCGCTTTTTTAAAACGCTTTCTAATGTAGGCCTTTAGCAACGCTTTCTATTGGTTACTCTACGTATGACCTTTAGCAGCGCTTTTCAAAAGCGCTTTCTAAAGGCATACTTTAGCAGTGCTTTTTTCCATGTTTTTATTTTATTTTATTTTTTAAACTTTTAGCAGCTCTTTTAGGAAAAAGTGTTGTCTTTGTAGTGCTGGCAAAAAACACTTTTGGTGTAGTGTTTATGTTTTAGACCTGTTTTACATAAAAATACGTAATTGATATAATATTTCACACCAGATTTTTAGAGAAAATTTGGTGATAAAACATCAGCCACATTTCTCAAATGTGACACTGCCATACATACCACACCTTTTTTCCCTCTAAAAATAGGTATTTAATGATGTTTTCCACATCGGTTTTATACTAAAACTTGTCTTAAATATTTCTACATGATGCATAATTAATTGATATTAAACCTGACCATAAATGTTTAACACCGACTCAAACACCGGTCTCAAATTTAAATTTAACACGAGTTGAAAAATAGGTGTTAAATATCATATTTACTATACCGGTAGCATTCACACCGGAAAAAAGTAGGTGCTAAATCTAAATAACACATGTGTTAAATCAATAATATGTACTAGTGACACTTGATGAAATTCAGTTTTGAATCCTAGTTGTATTTCATGTGTGTGCGTGTGCATTCGTATGCGCGCACGCTTGTGTGTATGCGTGTGCGTGCATGTGCGTGTGCGCGTGCATGTGTCTTTTTTCATATCATCTAGCACTAAGATTAAATGGACTCTGTTCAGGTGGACTAAGTAGAGACGTTGTTTTTTGTTCATCGCTTTCGATCGTTCAGCCTATTCTGCATCAAAGGCTTTTATTTCCATAAGAGTTAACCGTGTCTATCATAGATCATGTTGTTCGTAAGGATAAATTTAAGGGAAACTTTAGTTTTCCGCTATGTATTGTATCATGATTTCCCTTAACCTTGAACGTAATATCCCCCTAGGTCCATCTTAAGCCGAAGTACCACAACGTCCATGACGAGCTGGTGACGATAAGCCCTGATCTTTTGAGAGAAAAATAGTCTACAAAGCTTTGAAGCAAGACCAAAAAGAAAATGAAGGATAATCCGTGGAGGTCAACGTGGCCTCCCTAATTGGAAAGCTGAGAGAAATGGCTATTCAACCCCCTACAGGTAAGGCAGGTCGTCTAAGGTAAACATGCAAAGGTGGCTGGTCCAAACGAAGTTAAAAAAACAATTACCATGACTACAGTGTCCAACAAGCAATGGCGTAGCCACTTGGTTTTTTACAGTTTTATTTTATAAAAAGTAAATGACACATTACCATATTCATGATTGTTTAATTAAAGAAAGAAGGAATTTCCACTAAACTATCTTTCTTCTTTTGTGATAATGAAAGGGAACGATGAATCTGGGGTACGACCAAATAGATCAAAGCCCAGCCATAAAGAATAAATGTTGTCACAAATGTCACATGCGTATGACTAAAATAATCAATACCCAATGACGCCAATGCTTACACACAAAGAAAGCAAGCCCTAAGTTGGAAAATAATTGACTCACCCTCTTTAGTCCTCAGTAATGGTGAGTCTGCGATACGTCAACCTTAAACCAAATTTTCACCTGGGGGCATGGGAAGGGGTACTGACTCTTGGCTGAGAACGGTCTATATAGATGTTCAATAAACTTCGAGTACAAACTCAGAGGAAAAGTTGAGTCTGAAAGAAACAAACTCGAGACCAAAATCGATACCACAAACCAGGTAAAATAAGAGTAAGTAATAACAAAGATTCACATATGGTACACGCATGCTGGTCAAATAAAATAGGGGCATACCAGTCCACCAAAGAGACCATTTTCCCATCCTCAATAGCTTGATCAAGATGAACTCGATCTCGAGAGACTGACATGGTAGGATAAAATTATTCTACTTGCTTCAAGGAAATCTCAAAGACATCCTTAGGAATAGAGAAATTTTCTTGTATTGACTTGGCATAATCCTTAGAGAGATCAAGATTCTCTTGGCTCATTCTACAAATGTCATCCTCATCCTTCTTCTGACTTTTCAAAGACCCTTTCAGAGACTTCTCTAGCTTTTCAATCCTTTTTCGAGTAGGATCTAAGGACCATCTCATTTCATCTAGACTAGCTTCCACCTTGGACAAAGATGCTTGAGCGGAAGTCAAGCCTTATTTTTCTCAATTGCTTCACAGAAAAACAACTTCAATTTTTCAACCAGAGTAATGAATTTAGGTCCAATACTTGTGGAAGACGTCCATGCATACGAGTGGAGGACCAGGTTCTAAGTGCCATATCTTCACATGCGCATTTTCATTAAGAAGAGTAACAAGGTAAAAACGATCATTGAAATGCTTCATGCTATCAGAATAAGTCTTAAAATATATGATGTTTTTCCTTAAGGAGAGCAAACCAGAACCGTTCGGGTAGTTGCGGTTGTTTTGAGTTTTAAGAAGATGAAAGAATAACGTCACAATTAGCTTACTCCCCTTATACTCGCACCGGTGATGGAAATCTTTAACGAATGCTCTGCTCACAAAATGTAACTGTGAAGGGCAATAAGCGGATGGTTCAATATGTTGACTTCAAGTTCATTAAAGGGAAGTTGATAACCTGGGAAGGAGAATAAGAATTCGTGAAAAGGAATGACACATCCATCATATTGGCAGAAGATTATCTTATATCCATATGGGGAAACAACTTCTAGTCAACTGCAGGACCGACGTCAGTAAAATTTTGGTCTAAGACATGTTCACGTACAAAAGCGGAAATAGTCCCTAGTATGTATGAATCCACTCAGTCGCCTTGAATATTTTTTCTGTCCTTCTTGATCATGGTTGACACAATCTCCATGTTTAAAATATATTTGAAAGAAAATGAATGCATGTACGATGTAGTAAGCAAGTATGCTCAAACACTCACTTAGAAACCCTAAGAAAGTGGAACAAAAGCAAAAGGAGAATGTTGAACTTTGGAACTCAGAGGAAGGAACAATCAAATATGGAATACAAGTGCGAACAAGCAAAGTCATATGAACTTGATCCAATGCTAAAACAAGAAAGCTCTATGAGAAGAAAGATGAAGAAATACTCTTTTTGCAGATCATTAACTACATAAAAGGTAAAGTAATGCTTCAAAAGCCCTTTATACCATACTCAGACACTAAGAATCGCATGATTACCCTGCACCACCAACATTTGAGATCTCCTTGAAAATTGTTCAAAAAGCACTTGAGTGCTCTAAACAAGGAGAAACATCATTACCGTCTATCTTAAGAGACATGCCAGTCTTTCCCAACATTATGTTATGTCTTACAAGGAAAATTTTAATGTGCATATTCTCAAAAACGACAATGTCCCATCTAGAACTTCCACAACCACGGATCCCACAATTGAGTAAAGATACCTGTCACAAACCCTCAATTTGCAAAGCAAAAACAAGGCTTAGGGGGCAACTGTTTCGGGCCTCCCATAAGACCTAAAAGGCAAAGGCCCAATAATGACGCAATGAAACATTTGACGCAGCAAAAAATAGACTATTTTCTCTAACAGAACAGAAAATCCCTCACGTGAATGTTTTGTCAATCGTCTGAATTTATCTGAAGGCTGACTGCATCTCACGTCGTTACACAAACATGGAGTTACCAACCACTTGCAGAGATGACTTTAACAATATCTCTGACAATGCTTCAGAAGACTCTCTTGATGTATCTTCTCAAACAAAGAAGTCTGACGAAAACGATCATATGTGTTTCAAAGCTTCGAGAGAAGACAAAGACACTGAGGCAACTTCTCATGATCAAATTTTCAAGTTAATTGTTGTTAATTGTTAATCTCAATAAAGATGATAATAAATTAGAAACCAACATTTGTGATTTAAAAGAATATATTCCATTTCTAGAAAATAGCATTATAATTTATAGACATGTATGTTCTCTAATCTAAATTTATATTCATAACAAACACAACTAAATGAAATTTACCACATAATATAACCCTATATCACTCATTAAGAAACATGATAAACTTTTATTCAATTGAGAACCAGAAAAATACAGTACTTTCCTATAGCATATATATAATAACTTCACCCTAAATGCAATGGATGAATCACTAATAAAATCCATTTACTTGATAATTAGGAGTTTCCCAGAAGCAATTAACATCTTGATCTTGTTCACATAGGTCCCATTGTTGAAAACTACTACCTTCTAAATGTATATCAGGCCACTGATAATCATAAACAGAATTTACAGAAGAATTACAGCTAGTACTGTTATTAATACTATTATTCCACTCTCCACTTTCAGCACCATTTGATGAACTCCAAAAACCACCATCATGATTTTCCACTAGTACTCCACAATTAGGATCTAGAATAATATTATCCTCACTTGTTACAATATTATTATTATTCTCATTATTCATATGATCTGGACTAACAAGTACTCCACTTTCAAACATATAACCTAGTTTTATAATTTCATCATCCAACCATTCATATGGTTCCAAAGTATCAACTAATTCACTCATGTTAGGAAATGATGAGTTACTTGTATTGTAACCTTGTTGTTGTAGCTCTTCTTCTGCCCTATAAGCATTTGCTTTTGTTTTATGTGTTGTTGGCAGTTGAACTTGAAGCACCTCATCTTTCTTGTTGTTTGTGGTTTGATCTTGCTTTGGTGCATGTTGAGTTGTTGTTGTTAAAGCTCCTCTACTTGCTCTTCTCTTGGAAGCAGCAGCTAGGTTTACAGCAGCTAGGTCAATGGGAGGAAGTGATTCATTTAATGACTTCATGAAACAGTAAATTTTTCTCCTTAAATGAGAATTCCAATAGTTTTTTATCTCATTATCTGTTCTTCCCGGTAAATGCCCCGCTATTACCGACCACCTAAAACCATAACAACACCTTATTAATTTCGACGACCATTCATAAACTATTTCTATAAGATCTCGCAAACATTCTCAAAAGTTATGAAGCACATACATCAGAAACACGTCCCTCACACTTACACATGTTTTTTCAGAAGTATCGACAAGACTTATACTAATTAATATTATGAAATTGTTTTGGTACTGTTTCTGGAGGCTAGCTAGAACCCTACCTGTTACCAAGAACAGCATGCAGCTTGACAATGATTTCTTCCTCCTGTGGAGTGATGTTACCTCTCTTCACATCTGACCTCAAGTAGTTTATCCATCTCAATCTACAGCTCTTCCCACATCTCAACAACCCTAACATGTTCATATATAAACACAGATCAAACACTTTTCATTAACATTTATATAAGCATCATGAAAACCATTCATCATTTACCTGCATTCTTTGGCAAAGATCTCCACGATCCCTCACCATTTTCCTGTATATAATCAGTTAAGATCTTATCTTCCTCAGCAGTCCATCTTCCTTTCTTCAAACCAATTTTCTCACAGCAAGGAGATCTTCCCATTGATATATACTAGTGTGTTTAGTGCTCTCTCACACATGCACTCTAAGACAGTAATGAAAGTATCCTCACTGTATCAATATATATAAAGGAATTCAGAGGGACCAATGATTATGACATTTTAAACAAGCTTATTTTACTAGTAACTAACTAAACTACATGCAGTACTTATTTTACTGACATAAGTTGAATTTGTCAGAAATATTTTCTGGCAGAAGTGAAAGAGTACAATAGTGTCCCCATGTTACAGCATTTTAATCTATTACTGTGGTTACTAGGGCCTCCATTGGCACTTTTCCACCACAAAATCAACTTATAAAAAGCAAAAAAAAACATCGTTAGGTACTATTTGGATAATATATAGGATCTACATTTACTACATTTTGGCTATGCCCTATACTATACCAGATCAGTAATAAATAGGATCATTCTCTGCACATACATTAAACCTACTTTCACTTTTTTACCTAACATGTGATTCCATTTTTTATTTATTTTGTGAGTTTATTGGTGAAGTTGTTTGTGTGTATTTATTTATTCAAAATTTCAAAGTGAGTATATAGTATTCAAAGATTCAGAACCATTTTCATATTTTTTGCAGGTTGATGATGGAGTGAAGGAGTTTAATGCATACACTAGTCGACATTTTGAAGTTAAGGGATTATTGTTGTCTGTATAGTATATGATAGAGACAACTAGTGGCCAAAAAATAAGAATATTATAAGTATTGTACGTTGCTAGTTAACACTTCACATCGTAATGTATGTTGCATATTATAAGAACAAATAAATTTGTGAATTCTTTTGTATATCTCGCCAGCTAGAATTTTTCAAAAAATCACTTTAAAAAAGAGAAAATGCTTTTATCCGCAAATTCCTCCATGTATACGGACAAACCCAAAAAATAGAATTGTTTCGCGATTTTCAGATTGACCAAACTATAAAATATCAAATCATAGTTAAGTCAACTTTAACTCTAAATCTAATACCTAAAAATCTAAAAACCTCAAAAAACATTGAAGAAAGATCTCTAAGAAGAACCAACAAAAACTAATAAAGCCAACTAAAAATTTTAAAGCGCAAACTTGCCACCATTTCACAAGTGACAAAAAGATGAGATGTAGACTCAAAGGGTCCAAAAAGAACATAAGAGACACTGTTGGGTTCTTGTAAGACACGACGCTTGAAAAAGGTTCCCTCTTATGGAGACTCTATCGAGAATAAATTGTCAAGAGAAGATAATCATCTTAGAAAGTGCTCAACTATTTTAAATAAGGGGTAAATACAATTTATCTCTTGCCATTGAGGTATTCTCACTACGTTTGACATCAAGAAGGGAATTATAAGTTGAAACTACTGAGTAAGCATCAACCTTTTCTTGATGCCACCACCAAAGCTCCTTATCCAAAGAGAGACGAGTAACCTAAAGGAGATTATAATCAAATGTTATTCCCATACAAAATCCCTCTTATCCACTTGAGATCTCAAACCAACACTTCATCTTCTTAGTGGCTTATTTCTCATACTTTCATTATTGGATAGAGATCTGACAAAGTCTAGGGAAAGTTGTTCTTAACAAGGTCGGTCTCACCCAAGGGTCTTCCCAAAAAGAGATAACACTAAACCCTAATTTTTTAAACATGATATCTGCAAACCAAATCGAAAAGGGCTGTAGGATCTGAGCCAAGGAGAGAAACATCTTTCCACCAGGAAGAACTCAATCTAAAACTAGAAGACCTTCCCCTTATCAAAGAGAAGATAACATGAGTCATGTATCTAGTAGAAAAGATATCCCGCTACATGATAGTCGTGTGTAAGATCAACTTCTACCCCCATTTTCTAAGTATGGCCAAATTAACAAGACGAAGATCACAAAGCATTAACCCTCATTTCTGTTTAAACTTACAAAATCAGACCATCTAACCCAAAATATGTTAGACTCATCTTTCATCCCACATCAAAGGAACCTGCACTAGATCTTGACAGTCCTCTTCCTAGCCTTAACATGCATCTTTAAAAAGGATAAGAAGAAAATAAGTACCAAGTTAAGAATCAGACTATGGATAACAAATCTTTCCATATACTAACATACCTATGATTCTATGGAAGCATATGCTAATTAATAAGCTTAACCAACGTCTCCTCATTAGCATCAAGTCTTAGATTGACACCCACAAAAAAACCTTTTTTCATAGCCATAAAATATGAGCCAACATTGACCCCCAGTAATACTACTCTTAGAAAAACTAACACAAAGCCTAAGAGCAAACTCAAAGACCCGAAGAATGGATTTTATATCCCAAAGGTTCTCAACTGAAGCCCCAACCAATATTGAAGTGTCGTCTGTATGTTGAATATAAGAAATCACCAAACATGAGGATCCCACCCGAAATCCAGAAAAGAAACTCAAATCCACCACCTACCAAACAGAACATTAAAACTTGTGGAACTATGTGCTCGTAGGTAAAATCAACAAATGATCAAAGCTCACAGATAAGCAATATTTTTCTATCTTTGATGATGTCACATTTTAGATAATGATAACACTTGAAGTGATTAAGGCATGAAGTCAAACAATGCCTGAAATTAACTCAAGCGGTCAAATATGCACAAGATGGTTGATCAAGTTATTCCTCTGAATCAAACTAAGGAATTTTGATTTATGGTCACTAGGGATATACTCTGATGATGTGTCTGACTTGAAGATATCTCAAGCCTCATCCATAAGAATATTCAAGTGAAGTGCTTATATGATTGATATATTCGAAAAAAGAACCTGAAGCTTCATAGTGTGAAAGAGAGAAAGTATGAAAGCATGCATGATCGTGTCCGTTTAAGTGATCAGTGTATTGTAAAGGCACGAGGGTGTTTTCGTAAGTAGTATGGCTAAAGCGCACATACACATATATTGTTGAAGCCTCTCTTTTTCAAATAAAATGACTAAAAATGTTTTTAGATCCTAGTGGGTTAATTTGGAAATTATGAAATTGATTATGACTACTTTTTGAATTGTCTAATCGATTAGAACAAGTATCTAATCGATTAAATGAGGGAGAATAAAGTTCATAATTGATTATGAAAGTGCCTTAATGAATGGTAACATATTTATATCAAAATCTTCCGATTAGGCCAGCAATAATTGATTATTGAATGTACGTAATCGATTAGATCATTAATTTTGCCCATGGATTGTGTTCTAAAATGAACCATATATTAACCTATAAATAAAGGGTTCCCTTTCATTTCTTCACATCCAGAAAAAAAGTGAATATCTCACTTTTCCTCTTTCTCTCAACCTCTTTTAAAATATTTATTTTTCTCTCACATCTTTAGCCATAGTACTTTGAGAGTTTTCTTGAGTTTAGTAAGGAAATTGTTTTGGTGAAAGGTACTATTGTAAATTTACTAAGATTTTTTATCCTCTTGAGTAAATTATTCTTCCTTATGAAGTAATTATTTTGGATTAGAGTTAAACATGTATAAAAACTCTTACGGGAATAAGTACAAGTCTATGTTTGGTTCATGAGCTCTATCATAGAAAAAAAATCTCCTTTTGGGTTTGTTAAGAATAACCAGAGAAAAATCTTCACAACAGTTATTGAGCTCGTCCCGATTAAAAGCTTTATCGATTCGAGATTATTCTGCTATAAAATCTCACTAGATTTATGAGTTCAGCCTATGTAAAAGCTCATTAGATTTGAGACCATCCCAGTAAAAAATCTCGATTCGGTTCGTGGTAAGTTCGTGTAAAATATTGGTTCAGTTTGGAGGATAACAGAATCAAAACTCCAACTTGGTTTGAGATCAGCCTGTGAAAAATCACAGTTTGGCTTAGAGACTAACTACTTGAAATTGTGTTCAGTGAGAATACTAGCTACTTCAGCCCTTAGTTCGTTGTTTGGTTGAAAGTAAACCTGGAACTGCACTTTCCTTGTATAAGGGGGTTCGTGAGCTTAACCTTTTAAAAGCTCTCAATAATTATTGGATACTCTCAAGATCAATTCTTAGAGAGAAAAGTATGTCACTTCTTTAAGACAGAACCTCTACAAATCTCGGTTGTTATCTCTTCCTCTAGCTTTTTTCTTTTCGATTATTTTCTTTATCCTTATTTTCTGGTGCATATCCAAATTCTTTCTAGAAAATGTTTTTGAACTCTGATTTGGAAATATAATTGTTTTAAACTATCTTTTTTCATACATCCACAATTAACCCCCTCTTGTGTATGGAGTCACGTGTTCAACAAAACCTTCTGACAAATAACAAAAAAAAACTAAAAATTCCCCTTACTTAATCCTCGTTTTAATATCAATCTCTTGAGTGGTACACTCATTAACAAGGGCGACAAGGTTCCCTAAGAATACACACGCATGCATCTAGGCACACCTCTTAACACCAAATTCAAACATATGCATCATGTAATCCAAGAAGCTCTAGTTGATGGATTCATAAGCCTTTCAAGAAACAACCTTGAAAATAAAACAATCTTTCATGGCCAGATCAACAATTTTGTTAAACTTCACCACCCCATATACCAAAAGTATCTCCTTTAAGAAAGTAGAATTATTTAGGGATATTACTTTATTCATAAGCTTAGATAATCTAACCTCAAAGACTTTAGAAACAAGTATATATAGTGAACTAACTAGAGAAATAATGCAAAACTAAATTGGAAGGGAATTCAACCATGGGAGTCAACTTAGTAAAGTAGGAGAAAAAATTGCAAGTAACCGAGTAACTTCCATCGGTATTTGAGAGAAAGAAAAGAAAAGAGAAAGCATTGTTGCCATTTGAAGATTGAGTATGAAAACAAACTTTTTCTAGAAGAGACCTATTAGAAATATGGTGCGAAAAATATTAGTGAAATAAATCACTGCTTCATGATGGATCTCAAACACCCCTTCCACTCAGTAATCCCCTACATAAATATCCAAAATTGCATTCCTTCTTTTTCTTATCTTGACATAAGCATAGAAGAAATCAATGTTTGTTTCGTATTCCCTTATC